AGAAGTCCGCAGGGCCGGGGCGCACGGCAGTAGCCTGGGGAGTGAGCCAGCACCCTCCCCAGGCTGGCAGCCACAGCACTGCGCTGTAACAAGGACATACGTCAACCCATCCTGGGGATCAGTCTGAGACTCCTGCAAGAAAACTGCACCGCTTCACAAAAAGGACATGAAGGGGAAGGCGCCAGGGTGGCACAGGGAGACCGAAGGCTGGAGCCCGGCGCAGCAGCCACAGCCAGATCCTCTGCCGAGGACCGTCTCCGGCACAGAGGGAGAGGAGCGAGCAAAAAGTAAACTGGGAAAGTGGCAACTGGCACCTGGGAAAGCGGAGCACGGGCCAGACAAAGGACGGGAAAGCTGGAATGGGAGGGCCCGTAGGAGGGTGGCTGCCTGTGGAGACTGAGCCCTGTGGCCGAGGGACCCCACGCCAACAGCATGGGGCTCACTGCAGAGTGAGAGCACCGTGGCACAGGCGGCACAGCGACTGACGACACTCTGCTGCCAGACAAGGGTGTCAACACAGCCAGAGAAAAATGGCCTCTGGAGGGGCCTGAGCGAACCCTCCCGTATGGAGGCTGGGAGAAAGCACGGCTGCAGCCTCCCAGCGCTCCCCCGAGGAGGGACGCTTCCCCTCGCGTCCTTCTATTCCACGGTGCAAAGACCATCTCCACGTACTCCCCACGTGCACGCCAGAGAGATTACGTGACCGCAGGGCTACCGGATCCTCTCCCGTACCAGTATACACAGTGCCTGGAGCTTCCTCCGTCCCTTCCCTGTCCTCTCTAGCGCTGGCAGCCCTGAGCCTGGCTGAGTGCGAAGTGGTCGCAGAGCAGGAGCAAGGCATCGAACCGCTGGAGCCGCTGCAGAGCTTGGGCCAGGAGTGGGATGGTGACCGCGCCTCCTGCGTAGGTGAAGTGAGCGACGAGCTGCTCAAATCCAGATATCCGTCCCAGCAACTGGGGCGCGACCCCCAGCTCCAGCGCCACGTGGCTGAAGTTCTTCACACCATTCAAGGAAGGGTCCAACAAGAAGGCAAGTGACTGCACCAAGGAATGGGGCAGCTCTGCTACTGGGAGACCTGGGGGCAGCAACACAGCAAAGCGGTGTTAGAAACCAACCTATGTGGCTAGGATAAGGATAAACAGAGCAGCCAGACTCCAGCCCCTGTCCCTGCCGAGCAGGTGAAACGCCACCCTGCCAGGGTAGGTATCTCCTCCAACATCACTTTCAGAGCTCAGCAACATGGAGCTGGCTCAGTCCTGGGGAGGCTGTTAACTAGTGACAACTGGGCGTCCATCCGCCACCCACCCACAGACCATTCAAGGCAGCATCACAAAAAATCTACCCTGTGAACTAGCACCAAAGGCCACAAAAGTCAGGTAAGTCCCTGTGATGACTGGCACCTCCATGTAGCCGTGGTGGGCTTCTGGAGGAGCTCCCTTCCAAGAATCTGCCTCTCTCCGCTACCCCAATACTTGTAGAACAAACTTGAGGCTGGAGAGACACTTACCCTTCGCCGTGCTGCTGATCTGAGTCACGAGGCTCTGGGCATCACCCACCTGGCAAGACAAAGACCCCAAGGTTGGTGGCAGTCTGGTGAGAACAGCAACGCCTGTCACTGCTCTCAGGGCCATCACAGAGGCTCAGAGGAATGCTGCTTCTCCTTCCAGCACTACCATTCCACGGAGCCAACGACCTCCTTGGGATGCTCCAGGGCCTCCCAGCAAACTGCTTCCATAAACGGTCACCTGGAGCTAAGCTGTTAAGCCCATCTCTCTGCCAGACATTTTCTGAGCCTCAGTGATGTTAGTCACCGGGTTCTTACGAGCTCACCAGAGAGGGAGGAGGAACCAGCTCCCCCCCACTGCCAGGTAAGCTTTCTGGAGAGCAAGAGGACAAGAACCACTCAAGAGCACATCAGTTAAAGATATGCTTATACATTCAATAAATTGACTCTGATCTTTTGAGTGTTTGAAACCGCCCCAGCAAGTCACGTCTCCATGGCTGATGGCCTGTTGAGTGACACATCACTAAACATCTGGCAAATAATTTTTGATAATTACCAGTTAGTCCCAGATATTAATGAACCTTAGTCTACGTCCCTAACCCACCGGCGAGCCCAGCACCCTGTGCCCGAGCCCCAGGTGTCCGGAGGCGGTTCAGAGGAGCAACAAGGCCGGAGGAACTTACCGGCTGCTCCCCGCTTTTGGTGGTGGGATTCGGGAAGGCGGAGGGCGGGCACCGGGCCCCCTCCTGCCCTGCACTACCGCTCTCTGCCGGGATCCTCTGCGCTGCCCGGCTCGCCGCATCCTCTGGCCGCTCGCCGCCCACAAACTCTGCCTGGGTGGAGAACTTCTGGAGGTCCAGCTCGGTGCACTCCACCGGGGTGTGCGGCCACTTGTGCTGCATCTCGGAGGCGCAGGAGGAGAGGGGGGCCAGGGCCTCCACCGTGCCTGGCTGGCCTTGCCTGGGGTTGGAGGGTGGCAGGACCCCAGCCAGGCAGTCACCGCGGCCCGAGGCCCGGATGAGGGGCTGGCTTTCCAGGAGGCTCCTGCCCAGCTGGGCTTTGGAGGCAGTGCCGACCACGACGGCCGGCGGCAAGTCCATCTCCGGCTGGAGAGAGGGGAGCTGGAGACCCACGGCTTCCACATCTGAAGTGAACTGCACCGCTTCCACGGGGCCTGAAACCAGAAACCGGTACGGCTCAGCAAAGCCCGGGATCTGCCCTGGCCCCTTCTGGGGGTCTGTCAGCCCTGCCGTTAAACCCATTGGCCCAGGGCCTGCAGGGAGAGCTGGGAGCACCCTGCCAGAGGCCAGACCCCTGTCCCCTGCACCACCACTGAGCAAAGCCACTTTTGTGCCTTTCTGCAAAGTTTTGAGTGGGGTCGATCACTCCCCCAGTCACAGGGAGAGCAGGAGCGGGCTGGGGGGATCAGGAGCCACAGGGGCTGCGCGCAAGCTTTTCTGGTACAAGGTCTGCAAGCGTTTGTTAAGAGAGGTCCCAAATTTCATGTTGGTGGGACTCAGCCACCGTCCAGCTTTGTCCTTCCTGCCTAAGGGCGTATCAGTAGGTCCTAGGACCGTGCGAGCTGGAGCCCAGCACCACCCTCCCTCCCCCCAGAGAAAGAGGAAGGTGCCAGGAGCAGGTACCTTCTGCCTGCCTGTAGCAGGGGCTCAGGTTCTTCACACCCAGGCAGCAGGGACCAGACATCTGCTCCTCACACAGGAATCTGCCGGGCACTGCTGCGGTCGGGAACATTGCTCGCTGGCCCGAGAAGTTCTGAGTCCTCAGGAAGACTTGGAGGATAGAGGAGAACCAGTCTGAGCGAAGCTTGGCTTGCTTCCCCAGCACGTCCTCAGCTGTGCGGTATGTCTGCCGGCGAGGAGCTGGAAGCCAGCAGCTCCCTGGCACGCTGCTGGACACCAGTGTGCCCCAATCCCAGCCACCAAACCTAGTGCCCTCTTCCCCCACCAGTCCTATGGTCCTGCCCTGCAAAGAGGCACTCAACCTCAGCCTGCCCCTGAGAAACTCCAGGAAGAGAAGATCGCCAGTTCTGACAGCATTGTCCTCCGACTAATTACGGTACTAGGGAGGAGGGAGGCTCCTCCGTGCCTTTGAGCAGGCAAAGCACAAGAGAGGTCCTGCAGATGTGAAAAGCAGGATGACATGTTTATTCCATATGAGCAGAGGAACCTTTGGGTCACTGTACGCTGCAAGAGCAGCAACGCTACAGACAATGCTCTACACAGTGAGGAGGGGGCCACAGGCACGTGTGAACAGCAAAGGGAGAAGGAAGAGAAGCACTGTAGGCATTGACTCACCTCGCTGGCACTGGCTCTTCCAAAACCGCTTGCAGTAGATGATTGAGAGTGCCAGAAGCACCAGTACGATGATGACCAGGGCACTGCTGGTCAGTGCAAGAAGGGCCGTGTCCTGCGGCGGTACGGTCGGGACGGCTACCTTCACCAGGTTTGTTCTGGACCGACCTGCAAACACACCAGCCACAAAACATTGGAGCCTAACCCCGAGGCTTGGGCCACCCCCTCCCTGCCCGTCCCTCTTCATGTGTAATGACCGTGCCTCCTCCAGCAGGTCTGTGAGACAGTGGCTTGTGCTGTGGCCAGCAGAGTAGGCTTGGCCAGCAAACGGGATCAGTGAAAGGATGGTGCACATCTGAGCGCACACCTTTGACACGGTCACAATGACTTAGCATGTACCATTACTCTGCTCCACCATGTCCTCACCACCCCTTCTACCCCAGAGCACCTCGCCAAGGGACAGCACGTACACTGAGGCTCAGAGGAGGGCGTCTGCTTGGTGCAAGGGATGCACTCCCAGTCCAGCTGCCCGCTGATCCGCGCCTTGCGGTAAAACCTGCCAACAGAGCAGAGGGTCTCAGCAGCGCACGGCCCCGCGGCGAGCCCCCACCAGCCCGGCTCTGGAGAGACAGGTGGTTTGTCCGCTCCGCGGCAGCGCGGGGAGAGCCGACCCCCCCGCACTCCTGCTCCAGCAGGCTGGGATGCCCCAAGGTAGCAGCTCTCTCAATCGCTGGCTGAAGCCATACCCGCAGCTACTTTTTCATGTCTGTCGCCACTTTGGCCAAGGAGTGACATCACTCGAACTGCCTTCCCCCCCGGCCCTGCATCTGCTGAAGTGGGCAATAGTGATCAATAGCCCCATGAAGCCACAGAAACACCCCAGCCTACCACGGCGTCTGGGAAGAGGCTCATAAACCAGAGCCCCGACTCATTCCTCTGCCCCGAGTCCCACTGCTCGCCAGCACGTGGTCTGCAGCCCTTGGGCATTTTGCAGGCTGGTTGTATACAGCAGTCTTCATTTCAGCAACTCCTTAAACCCATCACCCGAGGCACAGTCTGTCCTCCTCTTTAGGGACCACCAATTGTAGTCATCTACAGCCGCTCATCCTCCAGGGCTTAGCCACCCTGGTGTCCACAGGAACAACTCAGGCCTGGAAGGAGTTTTCTTCCACTGCTTGTTCATGGGAGCCTTCAGGTTCCCTTCTTTGGAGCTACAAGGGGGCCATCGGATGGGTTTGATTTGCATGTCATTAGCAGTGTCCTCAAAGAGGCAGCCCTGGGTCACCAGGGCTCCTCTTACATCCCATGTTCTGGGTGGCCTCAGATAAAGCCCCCTCTGTCCATCCCCTCCCTGCACACTCCCAGGTGCGGCCACTATGGCTCCGCTTGAGCCAGGATCCGGCCCCACTCACCCCGGCAGGCATTCCCCACAGATCGCGTTGGTCGTTGCCGTGCAGTTGGACTTCTGGACGCGGTTGATGAGGGTGCAGGACAGGCAGGGCTTGCAGCCATGATGCCCCCAAATGTCCTTAAACTTCCTGGGAGGGCAGGCAACGCACTGCGCATCCCCCCCGCTGCCATCGCCACAGTCCTGCAAGACACGAGGTTGAGCGCACGGCTGCGGCGAGGAGCCACTTCAGGTCCCAAAGTGGTACCGAGGTGAGCGGCATCCCTTCTTTGGGGGCAAAGAGTGGAGGGGTTACAGCTCATGCAAAGGGTCCTCAGAACCCAGCCGAGAGCAGCTGCCACCAGAGCAGCTCCAATGGAGACACGCGGGGAAGCCCTTTGCTGCCCAGCCAGGGCCCACTGGCTGCGTTTAGGGAGGAGGAAAGCTCTGGCAGCGACGCGCTTTGGGAGACACCGCGGGGCGCCTGGGCAGGAAGCACCAGTCCCACCGCCGAGGCTGGGCCGGACCTCCCCCGCAGCCATGTCCTGCTCGCGCCCACCCAGCACGCAGCCTGGCCGGGCAGTGCGGCTTCACCCGGCGCTATGGACCAGGAGGAAATTTAGATTTCCATCAGCAAAAAGGAAAGAGGGCACCCCGAGCAGCAACCTGAAATCCCTTCCCACCCGTTACTTCCATCATCTCGCCCTCCTATCCAAGGTGAGGGAAACTGTTCACCGTCCTTTCCCACCGAGTCCCAGCTCTTCCCAACATGCCGGCACCTAAGACTATCCTTCTGAAGGAAGGCTGGCAGAGGATTCCCCTAGCACTGTAAAAGCCTCGGTGCCAGATGATTCCTAGTCCTTCCAGAGCAGCCAATTTACCTTGGAAAGCTCCTGCCCGGGCATGCAGTTTCTGCAGGGGATACATTTCCCATGCTCATCCAGGTACTCGCTCTCTTGGCAGTCCATCGGGGCTGGGAGCCTGAGGAGGAGAAGAAGAGAAGGCAGAGAGGTCACAGCCAGCCCCAACACTTTTAAGATGAGCAGCGTGCCCTTTTCTGGGCAGAAGTTTCCGCTCTGGCCAGGACGGCAGTCTGCATTTCTTATGCATCACGGATGTCACTGGCAGGAGGAGGCTGCCTGCTCCCACCGCACGGCAGGCTGCTCCAGCAGCTCAGGAAGGGCTTCCCAGCAAGGCTGGGGATGAACTGCCTGGTTTTGCTGCCTCATCGCAGCCTTCACAATGGAGCAAATGAAATTTCGTTTCCAGTATTAAGGTAGACCCACCGATTGCTCAGGTCACCAATTCGCAGGAGGCCAGTGGACTTTGCCAGCCCTGGCTGTAGGTCTGGGCACCCCGGACTATCGGTAGAGAGCTCAGTCCCAGCAAAGTCCCAGCTTCGGGACCCGGCAGCCCAGCTCCGGCCAGCGTGGCTGCGTTGGTCTGACACGACCAAACGCTGGTGGCCGGCTGTGTCCCTGGCAGAACAGGACACACACTTGCCGCCCCGCTGCGCCGGCCTGGAGCCGTGCAGGCTGTCCAGGCTCTCGCTCCGCACACATTCCGGCTCAGTGCAGGCTCGCTTGCAGACATCTCAGAGCACCAGCTGAACAAGCACCCACCTCCCTCAAAAACACCATCCAGAGCCTTCCCGAGGTGAATTAATGGCTCAGCTGAAGTTAGCAGCAGAACTGCCCCAGCCTCAGTGGAACCACAGTTTGCACCTTCAGCGAGGGCGGCTCACAGGGGAACACGGGACCGGCATCTCACCGAGAACAAGCAACTCAGACTGAAGCTACAAAACTGAGCAATTTAGTTGGAGTTTTGGGGCTGTCTGTTCATTTCTGCATATTCTAGATAGGTTCGTACCATGATGACAGAAATGGAATAAAATCCACCCCCACTAGACCAATCTTCATTTTGCTTTCCCCATAACCTTGTGCAGCAAATCAGAAGAGAAACAGTGTTCAACCAGCCTTGAGAGCAAAACTCATTAACTTCTAAACACCCACCAGGAATATGGAACACCTGAAAATGCTCTTTTGAAGACCACCGCCCTGAACAGCCTGAATCACCTGGGAAAACCTGGCATTTCAACCAGAGCCGTCCTGCTCCACAGCCTCAGGAGAAGGAAAAGCTCAGCCGGGATGCCCATCCCCTGCAAGGCTCTAGCAGCAGAGGAGGGAGCGGACTGCAGGGCTCTCAAGCACCCCCCGGCCCCTCCTGCCACAGCCCCCTTCCCCTCCCATCCGCACCGTTCCCGGGCACCGAACACAACGTCCCACAGCAGCATTCCTCCGCAGGCTTTTTCTGCGCTCCTCTGCTTAATCCCCCACCACTCCCTTGCCGGCTGCCTTTTGGAAGCAGACACTTGGACGGGCTCCCCAGGCTCTGAACAACCGAGATTCATTTGAGATGAAGTCTGCCCCGGACGAGCATAGAAAGTGAGTCACCCCTCGCCGCAGCTCCCGCACACGGCCGGGTCTCATTAGCTGTTACAAGGAAAGGCAGCGCAAGCCAGCGAGGATTGGCGATGAGAAGCTAAAGGAGCTAAATTTATCTTGCAAACATCTCGGGAGGGGCACGATCACAGCCTATAAATAGTGTAAAGGTTACTGACACTACCGAATAAATAAAGGAGATTTGTCACCATCTCAGAAGGTGGCGAAGAGGGAGCTCGGTGCCAATGCCCAGGGAAAAGCACAGGGTTTAGTGTTAGGGTTCAGCTACAGGCTGAATGCAGTAGCAAAAATAAAAAGGGGGGAGACAGGCTCAACAGGGGTGACATGCAACTGCTTCGGAGGGCTGGCACACTAACGGCCTGAACCCAACCTCTCGGTGAGCTCCGAGCCCACACCCCCCTCACCCGTGCCAGCGGGTGCCTCTGCCCAACGCAGGGGGGTCAGCGCTGCTGATGCTCTGGTCCAGAGCTTGATTTAGGCTTTCGCTCGTAACAAGAGCATAAAGATGTATGAAACAGAGTTGTAGGCAACAGAAAAGGAGCCAAGACACTGGAGTCTGGAGAACAAGGGGACCGATTTTCATCGGCTCTCCAAAGTGCCATTGTAATACAAGAAAGAAGAACTGGTGGGGAAAAAAGCCTCCCAAAACCAAAAAGCAAACCAACAGTCTTTTTGGTGAAACTGTCTTGCGAACGCAACACGACCACTTTCTCTCACACATTTACAGATTCTTCTGCACTTCAGAAGAGTCTGCAGCTAGGGATACATCCCTCCCAGCCTGCCTCCCCAGGAGAGGCACAGCTTAAACCAGTTTCCCAAATACAGAAAGTTACACAGGCAAAAGGAATCCCGTGGCAGTGCAACTCCACGCATGAGGATATCTGCCAGCATGACGGTATCACTCCGGGATGGCGGGGGAAAAAGCACACCACAACCATGCCAGCAAAACTATTAAGCATAGAGCAGGCCTGCTATTTCTCAAGCCACAATATAATGATACATGGAAGAACGCTTTGTTGAATATCTGGCATGAAATTCAAAGCTGTGGGATTTTTTTTTTACTTCTTATTTTAACCATACCAGAACCAAGACATTTAATTTGTAAGTGGAGCATACATCCAAACTACATAGCACTGCCCTGGTAAAGCAGCAATTTCTGATAGTCTAATAAGCCACTAAAACAACTGGTCCTAATTAGCAGAAAGTAAAAACCAAAAACACAGCAAAACCCTCCCACCTCTTTGGAAACTACATGGGACGTCAAGGTGACTGCCAGAGCAACAGATTTTATTTGCCAAAGAGGAATATAAACATGAGAACAACCGAGATTCATTTGAGATGAAGTCTGCCCCGGACGAGCATAGAAAGTGAGTCACCCCTCGCCGCAGCTCCCGCACACGGCCGGGTCTCATTAGCTGTTACAAGGAAAGGCAGCGCAAGCCAGCGAGGATTGGCGATGAGAAGCTAAAGGAGCTAAATTTATCTTGCAAACATCTCGGGAGGGGCACGATCACAGCCTATAAATAGTGTAAAGGTTACTGACACTACCGAATAAATAAAGGAGATTTGTCACCATCTCAGAAGGTGGCGAAGAGGGAGCTCGGTGCCAATGCCCAGGGAAAAGCACAGGGTTTAGTGTTAGGGTTCAGCTACAGGCTGAATGCAGTAGCAAAAATAAAAAGGGGGGAGACAGGCTCAACAGGGGTGACATGCAACTGCTTCGGAGGGCTGGCACACTAACGGCCTGAACCCAACCTCTCGGTGAGCTCCGAGCCCACACCCCCCTCACCCGTGCCAGCGGGTGCCTCTGCCCAACGCAGGGGGGTCAGCGCTGCTGATGCTCTGGTCCAGAGCTTGATTTAGGCTTTCGCTCGTAACAAGAGCATAAAGATGTATGAAACAGAGTTGTAGGCAACAGAAAAGGAGCCAAGACACTGGAGTCTGGAGAACAAGGGGACCGATTTTCATCGGCTCTCCAAAGTGCCATTGTAATACAAGAAAGAAGAACTGGTGGGGAAAAAAGCCTCCCAAAACCAAAAAGCAAACCAACAGTCTTTTTGGTGAAACTGTCTTGCGAACGCAACACGACCACTTTCTCTCACACATTTACAGATTCTTCTGCACTTCAGAAGAGTCTGCAGCTAGGGATACATCCCTCCCAGCCTGCCTCCCCAGGAGAGGCACAGCTTAAACCAGTTTCCCAAATACAGAAAGTTACACAGGCAAAAGGAATCCCGTGGCAGTGCAACTCCACGCATGAGGATATCTGCCAGCATGACGGTATCACTCCGGGATGGCGGGGGAAAAAGCACACCACAACCATGCCAGCAAAACTATTAAGCATAGAGCAGGCCTGCTATTTCTCAAGCCACAATATAATGATACATGGAAGAACGCTTTGTTGAATATCTGGCATGAAATTCAAAGCTGTGGGATTTTTTTTTTACTTCTTATTTTAACCATACCAGAACCAAGACATTTAATTTGTAAGTGGAGCATACATCCAAACTACATAGCACTGCCCTGGTAAAGCAGCAATTTCTGATAGTCTAATAAGCCACTAAAACAACTGGTCCTAATTAGCAGAAAGTAAAAACCAAAAACACAGCAAAACCCTCCCACCTCTTTGGAAACTACATGGGACGTCAAGGTGACTGCCAGAGCAACAGATTTTATTTGCCAAAGAGGAATATAAACATGACACAGTATCAATGCACTTTTAAGTTGGAGGGAAACAAAATGTACTGCCATCGTTTTGAGATGCATGAAAACTTCTAACTTAAAAACATCATCATTTGTTAAAGGACTCTTTTATTGTCTTAGTGGGACAATTTGCCTCAGCAAGGCAAGCAGAGTGTGCTCCCCACTGCGTTGTTACTCAAGATAGCAAAAACATGAGTTGCTGAATGAATTTCACTGCATGAGATAAAAAGCGTTTCAGCAAAGCTACAGTGCAAGTTGCAGTTCATTCACCTCTGTGACAGTTCTGGAGCTCTCTCATTTTCTTTTTCCTGTGAAATGTAATTGTCAAAAAAATTAGACTATGAAATCAGTAAGTGAAAGAGTACAAAAAAATCATCAGTGAAAGCGTTAGCGCTTCTGGTTCTCCCCGTCTGACCACGGCCCAGCTGGTACCGGGGGGCAGGCAGGGCAGGCAGCACCGGGCAGGACCCGCAGCAGGAGAT